GCATTTATTCATTGTGTTCTCTCAAATCCTAATCTTCTGGATTCTTCAACACCTCTAGTTTTGACTTTCTTAACTTATTTCATTGAATTATACCCTAACCTCTCGGATTACTTCTAATTCCCTTACTGCCTCTTCTACTATTGGATTTGAATTGACAATTATATCTCTGTGCTAATGTGGTATTGCAACCTGAACTGATGTACTTACGTACAAAGTTCTACGTTGCATCTGACTGACTATTTGTTGATAAAATAGTTAGCCAAAAAACAGGAACATTAAAAGTTTGAGTTATTTATTTTTACACAAACACAAACGACTGTCAATCCGACCGAGGAGGTTAGAACGTTTTGTGTTTGTGCAATATATACAATGACCTTGATGATCGCTTATCACTGTACAGACACGTCAGCCTCTCAATTACCAGCCCCACGGAATAGAGGAAAAACAACGACTTATGAGTCAGACAGACAGATCAGATCCGATCGTTATTATTTAAATCATGCCTTTATATACATGCAAAATCAGACTGCATCGTAAACCAATTAGAAAACTGACATCAATACAAAATAACAGTAATAGTGAGTGTGAACTGGGGTAACGCATAGCAGTCAATTAACTATAGTTCATAAATGAGAAATGATATAACAACAGTTAATGCCTCAAACAAGAGTATAGGATAAGAGCAACGTCACAATAATAGGAATAAAATGCTTACTTTGTATACAACCAAAAATAATGAATCTTAAGCAGAAAAAACAGTTCTATAAGATAGTCAATCTTCTTTAAGTGCCCGCCATAACACCTCCCCTTTTTTTTTTTGAAAAGAAAAATAAATATCATCGGTAAGATTTATCATAGGGGTTCACTTTGATCCTGTTTGGTTTCCGTCGAATTCTTTGTGATTTCCTTAGAAATGATGCTGTTCTTGTCTCCACTGCTTTCGTTTTCTGATTGCTTCTGTCAGTCAAATCAAGTAACATGTTTAACGTCATCGGAGTACTCAGCTTAACTTCATTCCCGTCATCGCATCTGGACGGTTGGATGTGGTTAGCATGTCTCAGCCACTTCATATTGCTTACTTTGACCTCATAGATAACTCTTCCTCTGTTCCTTAGGATAATTCCAGGAACCCACTCCATTGTTTACGATGAAAATCACGTACCCAAACCTTTTGTCCGGGTAAGAATCTTCTGGGCTTCGCTCCATGCTTCTTGTTGTATTGTATTTCCATTCTGGAATTACGTTTGATAGTCATTGTAAAATTTGGCTTCAAACTATCTAATTGCTTTCTGATTTTTCTTCTAAGCATAGCTTCCGCAAAGGACACTTCACCGACCGTCTCACGAATCGGTGTTGAACGATAAGCAAACAGGAACTTATACAATATCTCTTCTAATCTTCCTTCCCCCTGGGCTTTGAGTAACGCTCTCTTAAAAGTGTCGACGAATCTCTCGACTTGCCCATTTGATTGTGGATGATACGGAGGGGTTCTGATATGCTTAATGCTGTTAAGAGCACAAAACTTCTGGAATTCTGCAGACACGAATTGTGGGCCATTATCGGAGACAAGTACTTCTGGGACTCCGAAACAGCTGAATATTTGACGCAGTTTGTCTAGTGTAGCCATGGTTGATGTAGACCTCATACAATGTACTTCCGGCCACTTAGAAAAAGCATCGATGATAATTAAGTAGTGTTTGCCCTTTAGGGGACCAGCGAAGTCTACATGAACTCTCGACCATGGATGTGTCGCTGGTTTCCAGCAGCAAAGTTCGGTTTTTCTAGGGGCTTTAGCAGCTTGTGCACATTTTGAACATCTCAATACATAATTCATAACATCAGTATCAATGTTTGGCCAGTATACGTAACTGCGGGCCAATGCTTTCATTCGGACGACAGCTGGATGTGCAGAATGTAATTGTGACAAGACTTTGTGGCGCAAAGATTTGGGAATAACCACACGGTCAACAAACATAAGACAATCATCAACAACAGCAAGGGCGTCTCGTCGATGAAAATATTGTCGATCTGTTGCGTTGAGGTGTGGGGGCCAACCACACAAAAGATAGCGAATAATTGTCTGAAGCTCTTCATCCGTCCTAATTGTAGATTTTACGTCCATTGCTGACAAAGGTGTAGCCTGAATAAAAGTTTGCAGTATGAGATGAATATCATCTTCCAGTGACACCGTAGCAATAATAACATCTTCGTTCTCAAACTTTTGAGTCGCAATTAATCTGGAGAGGACGTCAGCGTGACCAGAAGTCATTGTTGATTTATAGCGAATCTTAAAGTCATAATTGCCCAACGCTGTAAACGATTGGCAGTATGTACTGAAATGCCGAACTTTGTTGCTGGAAACCAGCGACACATCCATGGTCGAGAGTTCATGTAGACTTCGCTGGTCCCCTAAAGGGCAAACACTACTTAATTATCATCGATGCTTTTTCTAAGTGGCCGGAAGTACATTGTATGAGGTCTACATCAACCATGGCTACACTAGACAAACTGCGTCAAATATTCAGCTGTTTCGGAGTCCCAGAAGTACTTGTCTCCGATAATGGCCCACAATTCGTGTCTGCAGAATTCCAGAAGTTTTGTGCTCTTAACAGCATTAAGCATATCAGAACCCCTCCGTATCATCCACAATCAAATGGGCAAGTCGAGAGATTCGTCGACACTTTTAAGAGAGCGTTACTCAAAGCCCAGGGGGAAGGAAGATTAGAAGAGATATTGTATAAGTTCCTGTTTGCTTATCGTTCAACACCGAATCGTGAGACGGTCGGTGAAGTGTCCCCTGCGGAAGCTATGCTTAGAAGAAAAATCAGAACGCCATTAGATAGTTTGAAGCCAAATTTTGCAATGACTATCGAACGTAATTCCAGAATGGAAATACAATACAACAAGAAGCATGGAGCGAAGCCCAGAAGATTCTTACCCGGACAAAAGGTTTGGGTACGTGATTTTCATCGTAAAACAATGGAGTGGGTTCCTGGAATTATCCTAAGGAACAGAGGAAGAGTTATCTATGAGGTCGGAGTAAGCAATATGAAATGGCTAAGACATGCTAACTACGTCCGACCGTCCAGATGCGATGACGGGAATGAAGTTAAGCTGAGTACTCCGATGACGTTAAACATGTTACATGATTTGACTGACAGAAGCAATCAGAAAACGAAAGCAGTGGAGACAAGAACAGCATCATTTCTAAGGAAATCACAAAGAATTCGACGGAAACCAAACAGGATCAAAGTGAACCCCTATGATAAATCTTACCGATGATATTAATCTTTTCTTTTCAAAAAAAAAACAGTTCTAGAAGAGAGTCAATCTTCTTTAAGTGCCCGCCATAACAGAACGTACATTACATAAGCTCACTTTCTTCTATGAAGTTACTCGTCAATGTTATTAACTAGCGATCGACATCGTTTCCACATAAAATATAGTAAAATATGAAATAATTTTTCCAATCTAAGTAAGATATCATATCATAAACACAGAAAATGTTTAGTATTCATTTTGTACAAACCAAATAAATGTGTGTAAGGAACCCCATAAAAACTTGGCACAAATGGATACTGTCATAGTTGCATCAAGTTGTATCATATCATATCAATTCATAATGAGTAGTACAACAACAATGGAAAAACCAAAAACACAACAACAGGAGCGAAGAAAACCATTGCCTAAGTAGAATAGAATATTCACAACAAGTTCAAAGAACAGAACAAATGTCAATGGAAACAACAGCGCCAATAAGTCAAGTTGTAAAATTACAAATGACAAATAAGAAAGAAAAAAAACATTGTTCTGATTAAGAAGAACGATTTTTTTTTTCAAAATAATTTAAATTAATTAATTATCATCTTCTTCAGAACTATCCGACTCATCATCGTCTGTCACAGGTTCCGGTATGGGAAAGCGTAATATTGCAGCTACACCGGACAAGTGATTAAGTTCTAAGAGAATTTTCAAAGAAAACGAGAAAATCAAAAACAAAGTAAGAACAGCGCACATCAACTATACATTGAAATCATTAATCAATTAATCATTGGTAGACCACTGTTAGAAAAAACTAGAAGATGGTCGTTTTGTCTTGGTATGGGATTCATTCAGTGGTGTAGTGCGCATCCACAACTTCTGCTACTCACAGTATTCGAACCCAGGGTTCGATGATTTTAGCAACGTAGAATTTCGTACGTACGTATGTACATCGGTCCAAGCTGACATACCACATTAGCAATTCAAATCTCATAGTAGTAGAGGTAGTGAAACTGTTAGAATTAATGGGAGAGATTAGGATTAGAAGATATTATTCAAGAAGTATAATTCCTTGAAATAAACTTAAAAAGAAAAAGATAAAGTGATGAGGCATGAAGAAGATTAGGATTTGAGAGAACACAAAGAGTGGATGCACCTGCGCCATTGTAAACGGTTTTGAGCCATGTCATTCATGATCTCTAAACATCAATTACGATTATCTCGTGAACCCCAATCAGGTGGTCTACACTTACCAACATGACTAAGTCCAATTGTTAGTGACTTCATGGATTTCTGCCATGTTTTGGTCTGGCTGCCCCTAGCTTTCTTCCAACCCATTCCTACATCAAACAAGATCGCTCGTTGAGGTAGTCGGTGGTGGTTAGGCATACGCAAACACATGTCCCAACCCACTCAACTGACGGAGTTTCAATACTTCATCTATTGGCCGGCCATCCTTACCTAGCAACTATTTCCTAACAATAGCATTGCTTCGAACCAAGGACCTTCGGTCTTGCACGAGAACGCCTAATCCGTGGACCACTGGGTCGGTATTCAATGGCGTTAATATCTAACTTTGATCAGTCTAGTGATTTTTTTGCGCAACCTTACCCATTTATCTTTGGTAGTTGCTGCTTACATCCGATAGGGTTGAACTCTACTGGTCACCTTTTCTCACTAGAACTCCGAGAATTTCCTCACGAAGCTAACCACTAGTAAGCACACTGTAAGATTTTTTCAATGATTGATTGACGCATGATTTCAGTATGTAAAAACACTGATCTCCATAAGTATAATTGAAAAAAATCAACTGTTATTACACACTCTGGTAATTGAAAGTGAAATGTTCCAACGTATTTTTTGATAGATAAATTCAGAATAGTCAGTCAACAAACAACGTAGAGCTTTATACGTATGTACGTACGTACGTACATCAGTTCACGTCACTATACCACATTCGGACACAGAGAGATGGAATCGTCAATTCAAATCTCATATATAGTAGAGGTAGTAGAAGTATGAGCGGTGATGAAGAAAAGATTAGCATTCAAAGATATGATTCTAGAAGTAGAATCCAGTGAAATAATTTCAGATAAAGTATTTGGTTGTTGATAGTTTTACTTGTAAATAACCTAAGTAGATTGAAATGGACATGTTTTATGATCAAAGTGTAAGTAAGTATACAGTACTGTACAGAAAATTGTTGTGCGCGACTGAGAAGTGATTTTTGATAGTGAAAAGTATGGTGTAGTTAGTTTGTTATGACTCGAATCGAATCATTATTCGCATATACAGGTGGGCGGGGGGAGAACCATAGCATAAATAATAATACTGGGGGTTAGACGAAGATTACAACTCAGGTAATAAATAATGAATTAGTTTATGATAGTGAAAATGCTCTCATACAGCCAAAAGTTCGCTCTCCTAGAAATTCTATCATATGGCCAAGCATGGTATAGCCACCGTCCGGAAGGTCTTACTCACTTTGCCTTCTCACTGCCGGAGGGTGTTATTTACAAAAAACTGGGAGAGCATAAAGCGAGTGTCTGGGACTTCGACTGGACTAGTGGGTATGGAGGACCCACCTAAGATAGATTTGGAAAACCCTGACTCCAAACCAATGGTGCACATCAGCTCCAGGATCCTGACAGAACTAATGGTGTATGAGGCTATTATAGGCTACCGGCTATCATTGGACAGCATCATTTACGTTGCTCCACTTTCGAGTCAAAGGTTTGAAAGGAGTGGCCTCCTTGAAAAAAAAACTATTTGCTTCGATGTAATCACCCATGGAGCCCATCCTAGCCCATTCAAAACTGCAGTTAACTACCATTTAGCTGTTGCATTCATTAAACAGTAACACAACATTTTGGTTTTCATCATCATAATAAATATAAAAATACTTTTTGAAACCATGAATCGATCAATGTTAGACCACCATTAGAAACCTGGAAGCACTGGACGGCCGTTTCGCCCTGGTATGGGACTCCTCAGCAGTGCGCATCCACGACTCCTGCACCCCGCAGGATTCGAACCCAGGACCCTCGGTATTGTGCGTGAACGCCCTAACCGTTGGATCACCTAGCCGGTATCTAGCGGTGTTATTGTCTAACTTGATCAATTCACGGAGTTGCGCAATCTCATACACATTCTTCGGTAGTTACTGTCTCCCACCCGAACAGGTTGAACTTCACTGATCACGGCTTCTCACTAGAACTCAGATAAGATTCCTCACGAATCTAGTCACTAGTGAGCACAGGTAATCGATTCATGGTTTTAAAAAATGTGTAACTTAACAATCTTCACAACCCCTGTAATGCAAATAAAAAAAAATATGTAATACTGGAGAGAAGAGACAAAAAAACTTACGTTCACCAGAAACATGTAGACTAGAAAATATTCTTACAATGCCTTGATTATCTTTCACTTGATCAACTAATTCCACATATTTAGTACGTTCGGTTAGATTACGTGAACGAAATAGTGTGTCAGTGATGAGTAATGTATCGATAGCGCATGCATCAGCAGCTGTTTTCACATGTTTATAACTGTGTATAGAGAGAGAATTAATGAACAGAACAATCAATAATGTGAGCGGAGAAAGAGAGATGTAAACGAAATAAATAAAATTATCACTAGAAATGCATTATTTGCACATGTAATAACAAATGCAAAAGAAGACGACCAGTGTAGCAGCAGCAGCTGGTCTCAACATACACTGTGCTGCGCGCTACTTATAAGTAGTATATGACGCGAGTGAAAACGTAATGTCTGGCGGAAGAAGATGAGGGAAGATCAAGAAAGGAAGAGTGGGAACACAATGGAATTTGTTTGAAATGCATGAATAAGTGAAATGTCAGACAATGGACTGATGATGGACTGAAGATTTGCAAATTAACCGTTTACGATATGGTTTTCCTATTTTACTGAGTAACTCTGTAATTTTCGTTAGATACAATTCGGTGGCCCTCACCTGTGTTCTCTTTCACTACAACACAAAAAAGAAAAGCAAGATTCTCCGATACAACAAACACTACATGTGTCAATTAAATCACTCTTGATGGTGATGTTTTGTAAGACGCTAAAATTTTTTCCATATTTAGGCTGCATCATTGACGACGAACAAGGTGGACTTGATGCAGATGTATATGTGTGCGGATCTGTAAAGCAAGGGATGCATTTCTATAGTTGAACAACATCTAGGACTGAGTCATGTCGGTAGTTGTCGACTACTTGGTTTGAGTCTGCGAGATGAAAATAATCGACGGTTAGAGACCTTGAATGACAGGGCTCAAAACCGTTTGCAATGGCGCCAGTGCATTTATTCATTGTGTTCTCTCAAATACTAATTTTCTGGATTCTTCAACACATCTAGTTTTGACTTTCTTAACTGATCTCACTAAATTATACTTCTTGAATAATATCTTCAAATCCTAACGTCTCCGATTACTTCTAATATCTTTACTACCACTACTATTATTGGATTTGAATTGATAATTATCTCACTGTGCTTATGTGGTATGGCCACATGAACTGATATACTTACCTACGAACTTCTACGTTACATCTGACTGACTGACTGAACAAAATCTGGGACTCAAAACAACTATCAACAAAAAAACCAAAATTAGTATTTTCAATACAAATGTCAAGATAGTTCTAATGTATGGAGTGGAAACTCGGTGAACTACGAAAGCCATCATCCAGAAGATACAAGCATTCATCAATAGTTGTCTACGCAAAATACTTTGGATCCGTTGACCAGACATCATCAGCAACAATCTACTGTGGGAAAATAACAAACCAGAATCCAGCAGATGAGGAAATCAAGAAGAAGCGATGGAAATGGATAGGACAAACACTGCAGAAAGCACCCAACTGCATCATAAGACAGACACTAACTTGAAATCCGCAAGGTCAACGGAAAACTGGTAGACTGAGGAATACATTACAGATATCAGACAAATAAACAACAGTTGGTTAGAACTGAGAAAGAAGGCTTAGGATAGAGTAAGTTGGAGAATACTGGTCGGCAACCTATACTCCATAGGTGGTTATGGGCGTGAGTAAAGTAAGTAATGCATTATACAGAAGATTTTTAAAAATATACAGTTTATAGATAGTCGTTTCTTTTTAGTGAACCGAACTGACGAGCATCTACTTTGCGAGCAGGCTAACACATTTAAACGAGATGAATAATTAGTCGCTTTGTATAGAGCATCGCAGGTAGTTAGAGGTAGTCAAAAGAAAACACATGATTTAGCCTATCTGCTGGTTGGCACATTTGTAGTTTTCAGTTGTAAAAACTCCTTATCCTATTTTAACCTATTTTACCCAATTTTACGTTCTCCACATTACTGTAGAGAGCAAGTTATTCAGACCACGATTGGTCTCCTATGGTATTAAGATGTTTTTATTGAGTGATCACTGAATGCTGGCCGGTATCAGGTTTGTCTAGACTTAAGTGCTGATCGATTTCTATCGATAAAGTTACAATCAAATGAAGATTGCGCTAAAGCATACTTACTTAATTACGCCTGTTACCCGTAGATGGAGCATAGACCACTGACCAGCATTCTCGAACCTACTCGGTCTTTCATTACAGTCCTACCCAATCGCAGTTGATTCTTTTCATTTCTGCCTCCATTACTCTGAGTAATGCGTTCCTTGGTCTTCCTATCCTACTTTGGCCTTGAGGATTCCAAGTTAAAGCTTTTCTTGTGACGCAGGTGGGTGATTTCCCCTAACTGTGTTCTATCCACTTCTTCCTGATTTCTTCCTCAGCTAGAATCTGGTTTATTCTCTCCCACAGTAGGTTTTCACTGATGATATTTGGTCAACGGATGAGGAGTAACTTTCGTAGACAACTGTTAATAAATACCTGTATCTTCTGGACGATGACTCTCGTGGTTCTTCAAGTATCCGCTCCATACAACAGAACCGTCTTGACGTTTATATTGAAAATGCTGACTTCTGTGTTGGTTGAGAGTTGTTTTGAGTTCCAAATGTTCTAAAAAAATTAGAAATTCTGCCCTTGCTTGGCTAATCCATGCCTTCATAGTCAGTCAGTTGCAACGTAGAACTTCGTACGTATGTACATAAGCCCATGTTGCCATACCACATTAACATAGAGACGCAGATCTTAAATCAAATCCCATAGTGATAAAGATAGTAGAGGTATTAATGGGAATTAAGAAGACTAGGGTACGAAGATATTATTCAAGAAGTATAATTCAGTGAGATAAGTTTAGAAAGACAAAACTAGAGGTGTTGAAGAATCCAGAAGATTAGGATTTGAGAGAACACAAAGAATAAATGCACCGGCGCCATTGCAAACGATTTTGAGCCATGTCATTCAACGTCTCTAACCATCGATTATTATCATCTTGCGGACCCCAACCAGGTAGTCGACAATTACGGACATGGCTAAGTCCACTCGTCAATGACTTCATGGACCCATCCCATCATTTGATTTGGCCGCCCCCAGCTTTCTTCCAACCTATTCCTACATTACAAAACAAAGCTCGTCGAGACAGCCGGTGGTTAGGCATACGTAGCACATGTGCCAGCCACTTCAACTGATGAAGTTTCACCACTTCATCTATTGATCTGCCGTTCTTACCTAGCACCCGTTTCCTAACAACAGCGTTGCTCACTCGGTTGTCCCAGGATATACGAGCAACGCTTCGAAGACACCTATCAGTCAGTCAGTTGCAACGTAGAACTTCGTACGTATGTACATAAGTTCATGTTGCCATACCACATTATTAGCACAGAGACGCAAATGTCAAATCAAATCCCATAGTGATAAAGATAGTAGAGGTATTAATGGTAATGAAGAAGACTAGAGTTTGAAGATATTATTCAAGAAGTATAATTCAGTGAGATAAGGTTAGAAAGACAAAGGTAGAGGTGCTGGCTAATCCAGAAGATTAGGATTTGAGAGAGCTCAAAGAGTGGATGCACCTGCGCCATTGCAAACGATTTTGAGCCATGTCGTTCAAGGTCTCTAACCATTGTTGACTATCGTCTCGTGGACTCCAACCAGGTAGTCTACATCAACCAACATGACTCAGTCCACTTGTCAATGACTTCATGGATTTGTGCCATGTTTTGGTTTGGCCTCCCATAGCTTTCTTCCAACCTACTCCTACACCACAAAACATAGCTCGTCGAGGCAGTCGGTGGTCAAGCATACGTAACACATGTCCCAACCACCTCAACTGATGAAGTTTCAATACTTCATCTATTGATCTGCCATCCTTACCTAGTACTCGTTTCCTAACGACAGCATTGCTTACTCGGCTGTCCCACGATATACGAGCAATGCTTCTAAGACATCTATGATCGAATACTAGTAACCTACGAACATCTTCTACTCTTACTGGCCATGTTTCACAGCCATATAAGAGAACGGAACGAACTGCTGCGCAGTACACCCGCCCTTTGGTTAGCGAACGGATACCACGCCTACGCCATAAGTGACGCAGGTTGGCAAAAGCCAATCGAGCCTACTGTATCCGAGCTGAGATTTCGTCAGTCACCAGGCCATCAGCACTGATGAGACTCCCCAGATAAGTGAAGTGATCAACACGCTCGACTACTTCACTCCCTATCACTAGTTCAGGTGCCAATGCAATCCAGTCTTGAAGCAACATTTTGCATTTCGAGGGGGAAAACCGCATCCCGAACATGCTTGCATTGTTGCTTATGGTAGTCAGAAGACTCTGCATTTTGTCAGCGTCTTCACCGAATACAACTATGTCATCGGCATATTCTAGATCAGTAAGCGACTTTCCTGGTAGAAGGTCAACCCCTGAAAAATCTGACGAGCTTAATGTTAACTCTAAGAGGATGTCTACGACAAAGTTGAACAAGAATGGAGAGAGTGGGCAGCCCTGACGGACACCACTTGATGTAGAGAATTCAGATGACAGTTCGCCATATGCTTTCACCCGACCAGTGGTGTTCGAGTAGAGTGCTTGTATAAGGTTAATGTACTTCTTTGGTACACCTTTCAATGACAGACACTGCCACAGAACCTCACGATCCACTGAGTCGAATGCCGCCTTAAGGTCCAGGAACACGACTATCGTCGGACGTCTAAATGTGTGTCTGTGTTCCAGGACCTGTCGTAGTGTGAAAATGTGGTCTATACAACCACGTCCAGGTCGAAAACCAGCCTGGTTTTCTCGAGTCTGCTCTTCACGAGCTCTAGTTAGACGTCTAAGTATAATCGAGGCTAACAATTTAGAAACTATATTAGTTAAACTTATTCCCCTGTGATTGTCACAAGAGGACTTCTGTCCTTTCTTGTAGATTGGGACAATTAGCGACTGAGACCAGTCAGATGGGATTACGTCCAGTTCCCAGATTCTACCTAGGATCTCGGTCAGTCTAACCGTTAAAACTGGACCACCATCCTTAAACATCTCAGGGGTAAGCCTATCGGGACCTGCCGCTCTACCTCCCCTTAGATTTCCTATAGCTTTCTCAACTTCATGTAAACTGGGAGGACTTAAATCGATTTGCCATTCAGGATGACTGGA